TCAAACAATCCTGCGCTCGCGATCTTGCGGGGCCTTCTTTGAAAACGTAGACTTCCAACCTGTTTATCCAATTCTGCCAAAAGCGCCTCTCACGCCGCATGTCGAGCTCATTCGATCGCCCTTGCGCGCGAGCTGGGGGTGGGGGCGCGATCCGTGTCAAATAATGCTGCGCGGCCCACTCGCGAGCGTTGGTTGCGCGCGCATGTCGGGATCCTTCAAACACCTTGGGTTTCCAAGGCTTCCCAAATCGAGTGTGCTGAAACATATTTCAAAAACGCATGGGTTGCAACAGTAATTGTTGAAACAAGCTTGCGCTCGGGTTTAGACAGCCATGGTTTTTCAACCTGGTCTTAACATGCTACCAGACAAGGTTTTTCGCGCGCGCGCGTGTCGGAATCGCAAGAACGCCCTTGCGCGCGCGATGTCGCACAAATCCCTTGCAGCAGGTGGGACGAAGTGCGCGCGTGCGCGTCGTTGCCATGCCGGAATCTTAAAAACACAAGGTTTCGCAAGGCTTTCCAACTCGCCTGTCCCGAGCACATACGAAAATTCTTTACGCTTCGCGTATCCCCACCAGCCCATCTCACAACAGCAACTCTTGCGAAGCATGCCGACAGTCGTGTTTTTCAGGCGTGTGTCCGCTTGGCCCCGCATATCTCCCCTGTTACTCCTTCCTCCCGCCTCCTTGTACATCCTCCTTGTGGGGGGAGCGGGAGAAGGACGAGGCGGAGGAGGAGGGAGAGAAAGCGCTCCTCGTGGTTTGAGTCGTTTGGGGTTTCTCGTCCTGGTGTGAGTCGTTCGGGCCCTTCTTCCTGGTGTGAGTCGTTCGGGCTCTTCGTGGTGTGAGTCGTTCGGGCTCTTCGTCCTGGTGTGAGTCGTTCGGGCTTCTCGTGGTGTGAGTTGTTCGGGCCCCTCGTCCTGGTGTGAGTCGTTCGGGCCCCTCCTCCTGGTGTGACTCGTTCGGGCTCCTCGTGGTGTGAGTCGTTCGGGGCCCTCGTCGTGGTGTGAGTCGTTCGGGCTCCTCGTGGTGTGAGTCGTTCGGGCGCCTCGTCCTGGTGTGAGTCGTTCGGGCCCCTCCTTCTGGTGTGAGTCGTTCGGGCTCTTCGTGGTGTGAGTCGTTCGGGCCCCTCGTCCTGGTGTGAGTCGTTCGGGCTCCTCGTGGCGTGAGGCGTTCGGGCACCTCGTCCCCTTTTGGGGCGTCTTGGGGGCCTCTTGGCGGCCCCAGGGGCTTCCAGGAGCGTCTTGGGTGCCTCGGGGGAGCCTCTTGGGGCCTCTTGGGGACCTCTTGGGGGCATCTTGGGGGCCTCTTGGAGGCCTCTTGGGGGCCTCCTGGGGACCTCTTGGGGCCATCTTGGGGCCTCTTGGTGCCTCCTGGGCGCTTCTTGGGGCCATCTTGGAGGGAATGGATCAAAGAAGAGGGGAGCTTTAATGAGCGCTCCCCCCTCAGAAGGGCAAAATGAGCCCAACACCTTCGTAAAATCAATGATTTTGCCTTGAAGGAAGAGGAGCACTTTAATGAGCGCTGCCCCCTTCAGAAGGCCAAAATGGGGCCAAAACCGTAGTAAAATCAATGATTTTGGCTTCAAAGAAGAGGAGAGGGTTTTTCTGCCTCCCCCCGTCGGGGCCAGAATCCTCGCGAGGGTCGTCGTTTTTTAGCCCTCCCAGGAGTCGAAAACGACCCCTCTGACCACCCGCGAGGCGCCCTCTCCAGGCCCAGGGGAGGGGGTAGGGGGAGGGGTAAACCCGTCCCCGAAGGGGAAGAAGGGGGGTTGAGAACAGAGCGGGCTCTCTAAACCACTCACGCCCAAAGGGCTGGTGGGACTCATGGCTTTGCCAGATTAGTTTGCAAAGCAAATACCTTCGTTCGAGGTCTTGTGAATTCTCAGGGAACCTTTTTGACACACCTCGCACACGCTCCTTGGCCTCATATGGAGCTCCTCCGAAGGCTTCAGCGGTTGCGTTGACATGGCGCCACCGCGCCCATTTCGGCACACCCTTCGCACGCCTCGTGGCCCCAAAGGGAGCTCCACCGAAAGCGTTAACCACAACGCGGCACTCACAATTGCCTTTGGTTGGATCCTTCGCAAGGATAATCTATAGATGCTAGAACCATCGCGCGCGCTTCGCGCGCGCTCAAATCCTAGCTAGGCTTGATGGGCAAACTCATGGGATCTCATTTTTGTTGCTTCTTGCATCCAGGGCCTCCTCTTGGAGGCCCTGCGCAAGCCTCGGAACCGTATAGGAGAGGATCTGCGGAAACGCGGGAATTTTCAATTTCTGTTAGGTATTCAACGATTTGGGGCCGTGATCGACGTCCTGGTTTCTTCTCTGGGAGCCGAGCGGGGCCTTAATTGTGGTCTGTCGTGCAAGAGTAGACAGGGGACGAACTTGACAAACAAAGGGGATTGTAGGATTTTTTTTCCAAGTTGCCGTGCCTGAGCTGTGTGTTAGAAGTTTTCTGGATACAGGCCACGGTTCGTTTGGTTGCCTCTCGGGCCTTCGTGCAAAAATAAGCAGGTGGTGAGTTCGGATTAAAAAGGAATGTGTGTTTTTCAACTCATGGGGTCATGGGATCTCGATTTCTACGGTGGTTTCAGGGGCAGCCAACAGTACACGAAGACGATCCAAGAGAGTGCCAAGACAGCGTCAGAGAGTTCAACAGCATTCCCGAAACGTTTTTGCACTTGACCCCGAAGTCTTGATGGGGCTCGAGGAAGAGGATAGGGAGTAGGAGTCCCAACTTGAAAAACAAAAGGGGATCTCTCGATTTGTTTCTCCACATTCCTCGGTCTTGGAGCGTTGGAAGAAGGAAAACGTGATAAGGCGAAAACCTTCGACCAAAACCTCTGGAAAGCGACGATTTTACCCTCTTCGGGTCTCTCGGGACGGCTCTCGAAGCTCTCTTGGGCTGTGTTGGGGGCCTCGTCGGAGCTTTTTGGGGGGTCTCTCAGGGGTCTGGGGTGTGTTGGAGGCTTCTGGGGGGTTCCGGAGTCCTCTCAGAGGTCTCTGGAGGCCTCCTGCTCCCGCTCTTGGGCTCATCTGAGGCCTGTTCTGGGGTGGTCTGGAGCTGTCCTGGGCGCCTCTTCGGCAGTCTTGGGGCCGTCTTGGGGCCGTGTTGGGGCCGTCTTGGGGGCCTCTTGGGCCGTCTCGGGGCGGTCTTCGGGGCCTTTTCGGCCGTCTTGGAGCGTTGGAAGCATGAAATGCTGAGAAGGCCAAAAACCAAACAACAAAAATTGCAATTCACGATTTTAGGTTCTCCAGGCGCTCTCGGGAGGCCTCTTGGGCGGTCTTGGGGGGCCTCTTTCGGCCGCCTTGGAACGTTGGGAGGAAGCATGACATGCTGAGAAGGCCAAAAACCGTTGAAAAAACAATGGGAATTCACGATTTTAGGTTCTCCCGTCGCTCTCGGGAGGCCTCTCGGAGCTCTCTTGAGGTCTTGTGGAGGCCTCCTGGGGGCCTGGAGAGCCGCCCGAAAGCTATCCTGGGTTGCTTGGGGGCGTCTTGGGCCTTTCTTTGACGTTCTGGGGGCTTCTTGGGGTCGTTTTGGGCTGTCCTGGGCGTTTTGGGGGCTCCCTGGGAGGTCGGGAAGCGCGGTGCCGCGAGCGTTCCGCGGATGTTCTTGGAAGGTGTGGGACCCCTGGGAGGGGGCGCGAATTTGTTGAGAATGCAAGAGGATCTCTGAAATTCTCTCAACATTTTTTTGTTCCCCCAGAACTTCCTCGGCCTTGGAGCGCTGGAAGCGGGAAAGCGTGAGAAGGCGAAAAGCGTCGACCAAAACCATTGAACATTTGGAAGCTCTCTTGGGCTGTTTTGGGGGCCTCGTCGGAGCTTTTTAAAGGGCCTCTCAGAGGTCTGGGGTGTGTTGGAGGCCTCTGGGTGGTCCCGGAGTCCTGTCGGAGGTCTCTGGCGGCCTCCTGCTCCCGCTCTTGGGCTCATCTTGGGCTTGTTCTGGGGTGGTCTGGAGCTGTCCTGGGCGCCACTTCGGCAGTCTTGGGACCGTCTTGGCCCGTCTTGGGGCCGTCTTGGGGGCCTCTTGGGCGGTCTCGGGGGCCTCTTCGGCCGCCTTGGAGTGTTGGAAGGAAGCATGACATGCTGAGAAGGCCAAACCCCCAACCGTTGAAAAAACAATGGGAAGTCACGATTTTAAGATCTCCAGGCGCTCTCGGGAGGCCTCTCGGAGCTCTCTTGAGGTCTTTTGGAGGCCTCCTGGGAGCCTTGAGAGCCGCCCGAAAGCTATCCTGGGTTGCTTGGGAGCGTCTTGGGCCTTTCTTTGACGTTCTGGGGGCTTCTTGGGTCGTCTTGGGCTGTCCTTGGGCATTGTGGGGGCTCCCCGGGAGGCCGGGGAGCGCGGTACCAGGAGCGTACACGAGACGTGAGCGAGGTGGAGGACGCGTCGGGAGGGGGCCCGGCGCTTTTGTGTATTATTATTAGTCTTATTATTTTTATGATGATTATTCTTATTATTGCTCCCCAATCAGAGCTTGCCTCTGTAGGGGTCCTAGCGGATTAGGTTAGGTTTGCCGCCGAGTTTCGCCGCACGCCCGGGTGCTCGGGTGCCCGGGGGTGCCCGGGTGCCTGGGTGCCCGAGTGCCAGGGGGGTGCCCAGGGGTGCCCAGGGCTGCCCGGGGGTGCCCCATAGCCTTATAGCCCGATAGCCCAATAGCCCTATAGCCCTACAACTCAATAGCCCTATAGCTCTATAACCCTATAGCTCAATAGCCCTATAGCCCCCTAACCCTAATTATAGCCCTGATTGGGGTTTTGCTCTGGTATCATTCTTCTTCTTTTTTGTAGTAATAATTATTAGTATTACGAATATTATTGAATCATTTTAATAATAATAATAAAAATTATTATTGTTATTATCAGTATTATTTTTTGGTCATTCTTATTATCACTATTGTTATTGATATTATGTTAGTATTACTGTTCATTATCATATACATATATACACAAACATACCTGTTTCTGGGCTGCCTCGAGAGGCCGCGTGTGCCGGGATGGCGGCAGCAAACAAGTTTTGGGGCGGCGAGAGCTCCTCGTCGTCGGACAGCGACAGCTCGGACAGCGATGACGAGCAGCTGGCCCCCGCGGCCTCGGCCCCGGCGCGCGGCAAGATGCGTTGGGCGGAGGAGAGCTCGAGCGAGGAGGAGGTCGAGAAGAAGCGCACGGTGATCAGAGGAGGAAGCGGCACGCATACCATTACGCTTGCATCGCTTTCCCCTGTTGTGGCCTCCTGGGAGGCCCGTGTCGCCACTGCTGGACTCGCGTGGGAACTCGCTGGTTAGAACACCCCCCTAAGATGTCTGGGGAGGAACGCTATCGGATTTGTTTGGTTTCTCCAGGTGAGGTCTCACACTGACAAACGATATGACCAGTTGATCGAGAGGATTAAGCAGATGAGCAACCACCTCAAGATCGACGATTTTGCATCGCTCATATCCGATTATGAGGCCATCGTCAAAATGTTGGACAAGCTGAAGACGATCGTCGAGCAGGACGGCGGACCCCCAGCTCAGTTTGTGAAAGCCATCTGCCAGCTGGAGGAGTACACCGACAAGACGCACACGGACCTCCAGGAGAAGAAGCAAAACAAGGGCGAGAAGCTCACGGAGAGCAAGCAAAAGGCGTTCAATACGCTGCGGGCCAAGGTGCGCAAGGGGAACAGGGCCTTCCAGGACCAGATTGAGCGCTTCAAGGAGAACCCCCAGGACTTCGAGAGCGAGGCTCGGCGCAGAAGAAACTGCATAAACACTAGGTTTTGAAGGGCCGCGCAGATTTCTCCGATCGGCGCTGGTATCCCATTGGCGGCGCCTCCGCCGCCGAATCTGGCGCGCCTCGCGCGCCAGGCATGGGGGTTCCAGCACCGATCCAAGAAATCCGCGCGGAGCTCCGAAAGTTTATGTCCGTGCTGGGCTTCCTCTATCTCAGGACGACGAGTTCGATAAGGACGACAGCGACTCGGACAGCGACGCGGGCCCGGCCGCGAAGTCCTCCTCCTCCTCGGGCGGCTCGAGCAGCTCGTCCAGCGACTCCGACAGCGACTCCGACAGCGACTCCAGCGGTTCCGACAGCGACTCCGACAGCGACTCCAAGTCGGACGCCAGCTCCAAGTCGGACGACAGCTCGGACGCGGGCGGGGACGCTGAGGCCGCTCTGGAGAAGAAGATGCTGCGGTGGGTCATCACGCCCGAGATGGAGACCAAGCGGAAGAAGGATAAGGATGACAAGGCCGCCGCGTCGAAGCCAGGCAAGAACAAAGACGACGATAAGAAGAAGAAGAGGCTGGGCAAGAGAGGTTCATTGCGGGGTGGAGGGGGCCCAGAAGAGGACGTCCAGAAGAGCAGCAAGGATGATCTCACAGCGGAGGAAATCATGAAAAAAGTTTTAGAGATCGCCCACTCGCGCGGTAAGCGGGGCTTCGACAGGAATGTTTATCTGAGTGGCTTCGCCTTATGCCGCCAGCCCCCAGTGTGTTGGTGGTCCAGTTGTTAGATTGATTGGCTGATAGCTGGCAGGCTGGCAACTCGGTTGGATGGCTGGTTGTCTGTCTTGCTGGTTGGCAGGTTGGTTGGCTGGCTGGCCGGCGGATGGGCAGTCTGCTGGCTGGCTGATTTGCATGCGAGTTCGCTGCACCCTTGGATCTATCATAGGGAGGGGCGGATCCGGGTGTTTTTTGTGAGGGATAGTGGCCTCGGGGGCAGGGACCCACGTTTTCGGGGCACCGTGATCCTGGGTCTGCGGATTATTTGTGGTTTTCCAGCATTGTCGATATAACCTCTCCCCGTGCATACACCTATATATACATATATATATATATATATGCCTGTATGTTGGCATGTATGTATGTCTGGATGTATGTACGTATGTATGCATGCATGCATGCATGCATGTCTGTATGTATGTATATAGGTGTGTAATGTAGAGTAATGTAATGAATTGGAAGGTCATGCAATGTAATGGATTGTACTGTACTGTAATGTAATGTATAAGTGTGTATGTATGCATGTATGCATGTATGTATGTATGTATGTTTGTATGTATGCCTGCATGCATGTTTGCCTGCATGCATGCATGCATGTAGGTATGTATGTCTGTATGTATGTATGTATGCATGTATGTATGCATGTAGGTATGTAGGTCGGTATGCATGCAGTATGTATGCATGTATGTATATATATATATGTATGCATGCATGTCTGTCTGTCTGTCTGTCTGTCTGTCTGTCTGTCTGTCTGCCTGTCTGTATGCATGTATGTATGTATGTATGTATGTATGTATGGATGGATGGATGGATGTGTGTGCACGTGCGCATGCATGCATGCATGCATGCATGCATGCATGCATGTATGTAGGCATGTATGTGTGTGTGTGTATGTATTTGTAGGTGTACATACACGTAGGTATACACACATATATATATATACATATATATGTGTAGATATGTATAAGCACATCTATCATGCTCGGTGAAGGGCCGCGGCCTCGTGACTGCGGGGGGGCACAGCCTTGTACAGTTTGTGCATCTGCGCGTATGGTGGTGTCGGGCCCTCGTTTTGAATCGGCCATCCTGTGGTGTTGGGTCCCGTTTTGAATCAGCAGCGCCCCGCGTCTCCTTTCCCCTCCTCTCAGCTCCTCTCCTCATCCCTCCTCCCTCCTCGCTCCTCCCAGTCCCTGTCCCTGCCCTTCGCATGCACGTTTCGGCACACCGATCACGTTTCGTGGCCCTATAGGGCGCTCCACCGAAGGCCCTCCAGGCACCATCCACATGTGGGCATCACGCCCGTTTCGGAACACCTTCGTTACACGTTTCGTGGCCCCACAGGGAGCTCCACCGAAGGCCCCAGAGCCACCGTCCACATGTGGGCGTCACGCCCGTCTCGGTCGGCACATCCCTCGCACTCTTCGTGGCACCATTAGGTGCTCCACCTAAGGCGCCAGCGGCAGGGTCCGCATGCGGCTCTGCGCCAATGTCGGCACACCCCTCACACGTTTCGTGGCACCACAGGGGGCTCCACCGAAGGCCCCAGGCGCACCATGTATATGTGGGCGTCAGGCCCGCCTCGGCACACTAATCACACGTTTCGTGGCCCCATCGGGAGTTCCACCGAAGACCCCGGAGGCACCCCCCACATGTGGGCGTCACGACCGTTTCGGGACACCCCTCACCTCATGTTCCGTGGCCCCATGTGGTGCTCTAGCGAAGACCCCAGACGGAGCATCCACATGTGGGCGTCACGCTCTTTTCGGCACACCCCTCAGGCGTGTCGTGGCTCCACAGGGAGTTCCACCGAAGGCCCCAGAGCCACCGTCCACATGCGGGCGTCACGCCTGTTTCGGCACATCCCTCACACGTTTCGTGGCCCCACAGGGAGCCCACCGAAGGCCCCAGACGCACCGTGTACGTGGGCGTCAGGCCCGCCTCGGCACACCAATCACACGTTTCGTGGCCCCCATCGGGCCCGTTTCGGCACACCCCTCACACGTTTCGCGGCTCCAAATGGAGCTCCACCGAATGCCTCAGTAGCTGCGTTCGCATGCGCACCCGCCTTTCATTCTGGCACACCTCTCACACGCTTCCTGGTCTCTTAGGGGGCTCCCCCTCTTGCGTCCCACTTGCCTTGTGGTGCTCACGCATGTTTGTGGCTGGGTCCTTCGCCAAGCTTTTCTCAACCATCTTGTGGTGATGGGTCCTCGTTTTGAAGAGACAGCGCCCCGCGTCTCATTCTTTCCCTCCTCTCATTCCTGCTTCTGCCCCCGCATGTCAAGAATTTCGGCACACCCCTCACTCGTTTCGTGGCCCCATATGGGGCTCCACCGACGGCCCCAGAGGGAAGCTTCACCGAAGGCCCACGTGGCTAAGTTTGAATTGCGTGCTCGCGCACAGGCCGGCACACCTCTCACACATTCCGTGGCCCCATAGGAAGCTCCACCGAAGGCCCCAGCGGCAAAGTCCGCAGCATGCTGTGCCTGCGCCGTTTTCGGCTCACAGTTTCACGCGTTTCGTTTCCCATCGGGGGCCCCGCCGAAGGACCCAGCGGCAGCGCCCGCGTGCCTGCCTGCGCCACAGGGAGCTCCACTGAAGGCCCCAGCAGCAAAGTTCGCATGCGTGCCCGCATCGAGCTCCGCGCGCTAACGCGTGCCGTGGCTCCACAGGATAATCCACAGAAGGCCCTAGTTGCAACGTTCACAGGCGTGCCGTGCCCATCACGGCACGCCTGTGGGTGCGTTCACATGTGCCCCCACGCCCATGTCGGCATTCCCTTCGCACGTTTCATGGTTACATGATGGGCGGCTCAACCTAAGGCTCCAGTGGGTGCGTCCACATGCGCCCCCCGCCCATGTCGGCATACCTTTTGCACGCTTCGTGGCCCCATAGGGGATTCTACCTCAGGCCCTAGTGGGTGCGTCCACATGGCCTCCACGCCCATGTCGGCACACCCCTCGCACGTTTCGTGGCCCACAGGGAGCTTCACCGAAGGCCCCAAGCGCAAAGCTCGCATGGCGTCGCCCCGCCCATGTTGGCCCACCCCTCACACGCTTCGTGGCCCCATAGGGAGCTCTGCCGGGGGCAGTAGTTGCACTGTTCGCTTGATGCCGCGTCCATTTGGGCACACCGACACCAACCACACGTTTCGTGGTCCCATTGGGAGCTCCACCAGATGCCTAAGTCTTGAAGTCCGCATGGCGTCACCCCGCATATGCAACCCTCGCACGTTTCGCGGCCGCATAGCGAACCCCACCGAATGCCGAAGTTGCAAAGTGGGTATGGCGTCGCCCCGCCAATTTTGGCATACCCCTCACGCGTTCCGACGCCCCATAGGGAGCTCGACTGGAGTTCGCATGGCGTCGCCCCGCCCCGCCCATTTTGGCAAACCCTCAGTCCGCCCATGCCGACACACCCCTCACACGTTCCGAGGCCCCATAGGTAGCTCGACCCATGGTCCCAGTGGCAAAATTCGCATGGCGTCGCCTCGCCCAGTCTGGCACACGCCTCACATGTTCTGTTGCCACATGGGGAGCTCCACCGAAGGCCCAAATGTCAACGTTCGCATGGCGTCACCCCGCCTTTTTTCGGCACACCGCTCGCAGGTTCCGTGGCCCCACAGGGAGCTCTGCCGGGGGCCGTAGCTGCAAAGTTCGCACAATTAGGGGCACAAGCAACGGCATAGCCATGCAAACTCGGCGGCCGGGGCGGCTCTCTCGGATCCGAGAACTCCGCGCGGACCTCCGAGCTTTCTTCTGGTTGTGTCATGGTCTGGTTCCCCCCAGTCGTGCCGCGCCCCTGTCGACGCACCCCTCGCGCATTCCGTGGCCCCCCCCGTGGAGGCCCACGGAGTGCCCACCGCGGCGGTGTTTCTGCACGCCGCCGCTCGGGCCCTCGGGCCCTGGCGGCACGCCCCTCGCGCGTTTTTCTCTTGACCACGCGCGTGCCCGTGCGCCCGTCGTGGGCACACGCCCTGCACGCTTCGTGGCACCACGGAGGAGCGCCACCGAAGGCCCCAGCACGGTGGGGGCGTTCGTTCAAGAATGTGCCCAGGGGGCTTCAGACCCTGGAGGGTTCCTCATCTGATGAGGGCGACAGTGTTATCCATGGCCGATCCACGCTTGGTGTTCCACCAGCTTCCAGACCTGGATTCCTTGTTCCAATGGTTCCTTATCCAATGCCCTCACCGTAGTGGTGTTCGCATGCTGCCGTGCCCATGTCGGCACACGCCTCACACGCTTCGTGCGCCCGTATGGCGCTCCACCGAATGCCTGGCGCACACCTCACACGCTTCATGTCCCCATCCTCTCTTCTTTCATAATGTTCACCAGCCTTGCGGTGCTCGCACCTGTAGATGTGCTTTGTTTTTGTATCATGGATCGTGACCCTGGGAGCGCGGATCAATATTTTGTTATAGCCATCGTGATTTCGAGAGCGCAGGGCCACGTGTTTTTGCGGGGCATCATGGCCGTGGGATTGCGGATCGATCGTTCTTTCACGTGCGACAGAATTGAATGCGTAGGGGGGGGAGGGAACATGGTTTTGGGTTAGAAGGCGTTTCCGCTTGGGCCCAATTGTGTCGCGCATATGTTAAGGATCTCGTATCTGGGGCATGGAACTGGTGGGGCTGTGTTGCTTTGTTTTCTGAGGAATGGTGGTCGATCTCATACAACACCACCATTGCCAAGCTATTTGGGTTATGGGGAATAGCGCGATGCTGCGAACTGCTTCTTTTCAGTGGTGAGAACTGCGATATTCAGTTGCTGAAGTATCAGCTGTGCCGCTTGGTGCCCCCCCGGTGCAAGGGAGGCCGGCAGACTTCGACAAGCTGAGGGGCTGGCTAACCCACGCCGAGAAGCACGGGCCCCTCGAGCAGCTGTACATCTACTCCGAGATGGTGGCTGCAGATTTTGACAACACTGGCGGAACGTTGGACCACATGAAGCTCGAGAGGTGGAACGCCGCAATCGACAAGATTCAGATCATGCTTCCCCTCTTGGTCGAGGGTCACAAACTGCAGGAAGCCGGTGGCGCGGACGACAAGCCCGAGACGGAGGAGGATGCGCTGTGGAGCCTCAAGACGCTGCAGGAGCGGTTCGTCGCGTCTGCCGAGAAGCTGGACAAGGAGCTGTACAAGGCGCTCCAGTTCACGGTGGACGTGTACGGGGACGAGTACCAGCAGATTTTGGCGAATTCCTCCAAGTTTATGGTCTTGCTCAAGCGTATGCTCAAGTTCTTTGAGGATTTGACAGCTTGGAGCATATCCCTGTCCACATGCTTGGCATCGTTTTATCTCGATGCCGATCTTAAGGATTCCCTCAGGTTCTGAGCTAGCATCCCTAAGATCGTCATGGCTTTGGGACTTGCCAATCTTAGGGGTAGGGAAGAGCCCGAGGCTGGTTCAGGACACGAAGCAGGTGGGGCCGCTGTGTGTGGTGGCCTCGCGGCTCATCGAGCACCTGTACTACAAGCCAGACCCGCTGAATGCGGCCGTCTACGACGCCATCCAGCACTCGCTGCCCGAGGATTAGCGGACGAAGCGCGGTATGGCATCCGCGTTCTCGCCGTCGGGGACGCCTGCCCCTGGACGGCTTGACAGGTTGTACCCCGCAGTGCCACTGTAGGGTCTAAGCTTTCTAGCCGCCCCGGGGCAGGTGTCCCCGACGCTGGAACAGTTTATGATTTGCAGGGTTTAGTCCCCAAAGAGGAGGAGCGCGCGGACTGGGCATGGCCCGAGGACTCGAGGCCCCTCATGGCCAAGCTCTGTCACCACGTCTTCGCGCGGGCGCAGCTCAAGGACGAGGCGTTTGCGCTGGACCAGGCCAAGCTGCAGACGCGCGCATGCCTCTGCCAGGCTTTCCACCTGGCGCTCCACGACCACTTCCAGGAAGCCCGGGACCTCCTGCACCTGGGCAACTTGGCCGAGAAGTCTGCAGAGCATGATGTCCACACCGCCATCCTCTACAACCGCACCCTGGCCCAGATGGGCCTCTGCGCGTTCCGGCTGGGCAAGATCCAGGATGCGCACAATTGCCTCATGGACGTGTGCATGCACAACAAGGCCAGGGAGCTGCTCGCGCAGGGCCTGGTGTTCAGCAAGAACATCGAGAAGACCCAGGAGCAGGAGCGTGCCGAGCGGGAGCGGCAGCTGCCGTACCACATGCACATCAACCTGGAGGTGCTAGAGAGCGCGCACCACATCTGCGCCATGCTCCTCGAGATCCCGAACCTCGCCATGGAGTCCATCGTGCCCACCAACAAGCGCATCATCTCACGGGTACTCCGCCGGGCATTAGAGTCCCAGGAGAAGCAGGTATTCGCGGGCCCGCCAGAGAACGCCAAGGAGGCCGTCGTCAGCGCTGCCCGCGCTTTGCAAAAGGGGGACTGGTCGATCGCGTGCAGCATGCTCGAGGACCTCAAGCTGTGGGAGCACATCGACCTGGGACATCCGCAGAACGGGCCGAAGATTAAGGACATGATAAAGGAGAAAATTAAAATAGAGGCTCTCCGCACGTACCTCTTCTCATACGCGTCAATCTACGATGCCTTCCACATCGATCAGCTCGTTGGCATGTTCGGCTTGGACTCCAAAATCGTGCACTCTGTCGTCTCCAAGATGATGATAAAGGAAGAGATCACAGCTTTCTGGGACGAGTCCTCCAAGTACGTGCTCGTCCAGCACGTCGAGCCCAGCCCGCTGCAGCGGCTCAGCCTGCTTCTGGCCGACCGCGCGGCGCTGTGCGTGCAGCACAACGAGCAGCTGGTTGACCAGAAGACGCACTGCGGCTACGGGCTGAACGGCCGCAGCATGGACCAGGGCCTCCAGGGCGTGGGCGGCAAGGGCGGCAAGGGCGCGCGCCCCCTGGACAAGGGCAAGGGCGGCAAGGCCGGCTCCAAGGGGAAGTCCACCCTCGCAAGGCCTGCGCAGATGCGCGGCTGGGAGAATGCCCGCGCGGGCGGACTGCGCGGCGGCGCGCAGCGCGGGTGGACCACCTCCGGTGGCCGCTGAGACTGGCCCGCGCGGGTGCGGGGCCCCGCCTGGTGCGGTGGCGACCACGGGATTGGGAGCCCGAAGCGGCTGCGCCAAAGGCTACGCCTGCCCAGGGCCGCTGTTTTGCGCAGTGCAACCGGGGTGCCACCGAAGTCTGTCTAACATCCACGGGCATCCCCTCCTGCCGAGTCCCGTGCGTCGCTGCTCTTCTCCCCAGAGGTCTGGGCGTCGCATTTGCTTCGCACCGGGCGTCTTCGTTTTGTCTTCGGGTCCCTGAGGCCCTCCAACATCGGTCCGGCCAGAGAACTGCAGCAGGAAATTCGGGTCCAGGGCCTTGATTGCGACTTTTCTCGCTGTCTTGCAATCGGTTTCTCGCCACGCACGATCTCAGGCCCTCGTGCGTCGCGAGCCAGTGCGCGCCGCACGCTCCGTGTCGGCACAGGCGGGTGCCGCCGCGCCAGCCTGCTCCCTGGGGTCAGCGATCAGGCTGCGAAGCCAGGCTCGTCGCAGGGGGGGGGCAGGTGCGGGGAGGCGCCTCCAGGAGGTCCACAGAGAGGACGAAGCACGCCAGCGAGGGCCGCCGTGGTCTCGACTTGGCCCTGCTCCGAGAGGCGGAGGAGGTGTGCGGGGGAGAGGGCCTCGATCGCGCGCGTATCGAGAAAGCCCTGAGGTCTGCTGGGTCCGGACCGCGGCCTTCTTGGCGCACCTGGCGCTCGGCACTGGGGCCAGCGGCTCCACAGAGGAGGCGGCGTGCGCGGAGCTCCGCCACGCAAGTATGTACACAGACACTCTCCGAAGAGTTCTGCATGTGCCTTCAGGGAGGGCGGCGGTGCATGAAGCCGCTGGCTCGCAGTGGTGATTTGTACACTGCCGTCCTCCCCTGAGGCCCAGGACAACTCCATTGGAGGGTGTTCGTGCATGTATTGTTGTGTCGGAGGAGCCGCCGGCGGCAGCAGCAGCGGAGGGAGGGGAGCTGGAGGCGCAGGGCTCGGAGCAGAGGCCGGCGCCGAAGCAGAAGGGCAAGAAGAAGGCCGGCCCCGAGAGCAGGCAGTGCACGGACCCGGAGCTCAGGGGCGCGCTGCAGGGCCTGCTGCTGGTGTCCGTGAGCACGGGGCACCAGGTGAGCGACTCAAAAAGACGGGGTCGTCTGCGCCTGCATTGGCGCCTAAGCTTCCCGCGCAAGCTCGCGCGTAAGCTCATCATGATGTTCCGACCCACTTCAGCCCTGATCGCCAGAAAGGATGTCGAGCGCCAGGAGAGCACCCAAGCTGGAGGGTTTTTACGTGTCGGGCCCTGGGAGGCGATACTCGTTCGACACTTGGCTAGCGTGTCGGGCAGACACTGCTTCGATACTTCTCTGGGTGCTCGGAATTTCTTTCTCCGATGTGGTCCTGCAGTGCGATGGGAGCAACATCAACGCAGGCGCCCTCGTCTCCAAGGCAGCGTGCCGCGCTGGCGGCCCGCGCCGGCCGCGGCGTAAGGCCGCCATGCCATCTCGCGTAAGGCCCCTCTGCTGGCCCCACGCAACCGGGGGTCAGTCGATCCTCTCTGGCTGGCCTGGGCCTGTGATCTCCCCTCCGCTGACCCTGGCTATGCATCCTGGAGGAGGAGGAGGAGGAGGAGGAGGAGGAGGCGGAGGACGGGGAGGAGGGGGAGGAGGAGGAGGAGGAGGAGGAGGAGGAGGAGGAGGAGGAGGAGGAGGAGGGTTTCCTTTTCGTCGCGCAGGTGCTGGTGACGTCGGGGCTGCCGGGAGGGGAGCACGCTGCCCGATCGGTGGGCCTGCGGCTGCAGCCGCTGGCCGAGGCTCCTGGGCCCTCCCCGATCCCGAGCCCAGCTCCCCGTCCCCGCGCCCGTGTGCACCCAGAATCGGGACGACCGAGATGGGTACTCACCACCTACCAAACCACCCCAACCCAACCCGAAGGCCCAACTTTACCTTCGATTTCCAGTGGGGGGAGTCGGGGAACATCGAACAAACACATGCGGAACCCGTACCCCCCCAACCCGAAACTTGGGTCTTCGGGTTAGGTTGGGGTGGTCTGGTAGGTAGTCAGGTACGGAAAGAGTTGCAGGCCCCAAGAATATGCAACACCACCACGTCGATTCCTCCTCGCTCCTTTGCCCTCCTCGTCTTCTCCTCTTTCCTGGTAGAGGGAGGGGGTGCGGGAGGTGGTGGTGGTGTATATGTTTGGGCCCCGTGAGAATGGGTACAGTGACCTCGCATGTCCTGTGTTCCTTTTCACCCAGATGCGCTGTCGGTGTCGCTGCGGCCTTTGTCCATTTACGCCAGGAGGTCGCCTGTCCACAACAGCGGCCGCTGAGGATTTTGGACAACATGTGTTGTTGGGCATTGTGCGACCATGTGTTCCGTGCCCATTTCGGGCGTCCAAACAGAGGTTTTTCCCCGAATGGGCTCGGGCCCAGGTTTCTCTTTTAGAGGCTTATTCCCTGGATCGACTCGAAGAGGGCCAGGACCATTATTTTGCGATAAGTAACGAGGTAAAATCTGATTTTTGTTCCTGTGAAGGGCGCCGGCCCAGGGATCTCCTTTAAAGGCTTTACCCCCAGGGGCGACTTGAGACGGGCCCGCGAAATGATATTTTGCGATTTTTTGTTGTATATCCGCCGACCCTGTCGGCGTGTGGACCCCCTGTCTGCGTGCGCTCTTTCCCTGCGTCTCCTTCGTCCCCTTTCCCTGCACCCTCCTCTTCAACCCGGCCAGCGAGAGAAAACCGTAGCAACGTCGTACTTCAGTCGAAGGGAAGCCCCTTCCCTTTGATCCCTCTCCCGCTAAAGGGGGGGGTCCCGAGGGGGTCCCGGGGGGGAGGTCCCGGGGGGGGGGGGTCAGATACGCATCCGCCACTGGGCGTCCCACAGCCCCAAAAAGCGCCAAGACGCGCCAAGAGGCCCCCAAGCAGGCCCACGAAGAGGACCACGATTCGACATTTCGAGCTTCCCGCCCCAAGAAGCCCCCAGAAGGCCCCAAGAGCCCCTCAAGGGGCCCGAAGAGGCCCCCAAGAGACCCCCAGAGGCCCAACAGAGGCCCCAACAGGCCCGAAGAACATCGAAGGGGCCTTTCAACCACAACCCCAGCACGGTGGCGGGAAGGGCCGCAGGCTACAAGGCTCCCTGTCTGTCTCTGCTACGACTCCCCCGGCCCACATGGGCAACATCTCCTTCGCCTTCTCCTGCTCTCTTCACCTTAATCCCCCTCCTCCTCCTCCTCCTCCTCCTCCTCGTATTCGTTTCGTCGTCTTCAGGGTCGGCGGCACCGGCCGTAAGGCCTTCGCAATAACGATGTCGAGACGGGCCGACGAATTAGAATGTGAGGACGCCCCAAGCGAAACGTGTTTTTTCTCGGAAAGGGCATAAGCCCAGGGTTTTCTTTTAGTAGGTTTACCACCGGGTTTGACTTGAGGTGGACCGGCGAATTTCTTTTGCGATAAATATCGAGGTCGAGGTGGGCCGGCGAATTAAAGTTTGAGAATGTCTCGAGCGAAACGCTTGTTCTTCAGAATTTATCGAAGATGTCTCGAGCGAAACCCTTGTTTCGTGTTATAGTTTGTCCTCTCCTGGGGACCTGAATTCAGAGGATCTCTCAAGTGAAATGCTTGTTTTCACGTGTCCAGGTCTGGAGGATGTCTCGAGCGAGACGCTTGGTTTCACGCCTCCAGGTTGCCCAGACAGATGTCTAGCATGAGGATTTGTTGAGGATTTCTCGAATCAGAGGCTTGTTTTCACGTGTCCAGGTCGCCCAGGCGGATGTCTAGCATGAGGATGTGTCGAGGAAGTCTCGATCGAGACGCGTGTTTGCACGTGTCCAGGTTGCCCAGGCGGATGTCTAACATGAGGATGTGCTGAGAACGTCTTGAGCGAAACGCGTGTTTTCACGTGTCCAGGTCGCCCAGGCACAGCACAGCCCTCGGCACGGTACATCAATATCGATACCCTTAGCATTACAGCCTGGCACGTTCCGCAGAGCGTCCCGTGGCGAGTCCCCCTGGCACGTCGCGCGGTGCACGTCCATTGGCACGTTCGGCGCGTCCCGTGGCGAGTCCCCCTGGCACGTCGCGCGGCGCGTCCGCTGGCACGTCCGGTGGCGCGTCCATTGGCACGTTCCCGTTGTGCGCCCCCTTGGCACGTCCCGCGGTGCGTCCTCATGACACGTCCCCTGGCACGTCCGCTGGCGCGTCCTTTGGGGCGTTCTGCGGCGCGTCCCCCTGGCATGCCCCCCGGGCATCGCCCAATTGCATATGCAATGCAGGTCCTTAGAAACAGTTCCATGCCTCGCAGTTCTCAATCCCTTTCCGGGTTCGTGGGTCGATCATGTTCAGCTTTCGGCTGCACACCTGGTTCTTCTGCTTGGAGGTCTTAACGGATTAGTCGGAGCTCACACTCTGGAGTGCGCCATCTTTCAACATGCAGTTCAAGCACGCGTGTCAAGTCTATCTCCCCTGACCTCCACGCAGAACAATTTTATGCGTCTGGCAGTGCGCTCGGTCGAGGAAGAATGAGGATGATAAAACAGCCAAGAGTGCAGCTGTGTGCCCGAGCCGTTGTATCTTTCTGCTGATCCCCGCAGGCCCCCGCGCTTCCCTGCGCCGCGCAGACATGGGAGTTTCCCGAGGGGACCGGCGACGGGCTGGTGGTGGCGGCGACGCACAAGTCCCACAAGGATCGGGGGAACCAACTGACCACCTCACCGATCCCTCAGGCGGGAAAAAGCACACACAGACACAAGTCATCGTCGTCTCCAGGGAGAATCTGGGAGCCGATGGGAAGTGGGGGGGAAAACGAAACTTCAGAGCACATGGAAACATGTGCAGAATCCTGGGATCCGTGTCTCTTCGTTTGTGTGTCCCGGGGCCCCTTCCTTCCACCCGGGCCCATCCCCGACCTGGAGCGGCGTCTGGGCCTGCCGGGCCGCGCCAGGAGGGCGCGTGCGCAGTGGAGGCCCATGCCAAGAGGCACCCTGCTCGCCTCCCGGGTGCCCGGGGCTTCTTGGATTTCGACGGTTCTGCTCCAGGGCAGCGTGACGCTCCCACGCCAAGAATCAACGGACGTCCTGGGGTCTCAGGGTTGGGGTTTCTTGTAGGGGTTTCTTGCGGTCGAGCCTTGACCCTTTTGGTCCTTCTCCTCCTCCTCCTCCCCCTCCTCCTCGTCCTCCTCCTGGTCCTCCTCCCCCTCGTCCTCCTCGTCCTCCTCCCGGTTGGGTTTCTTGTGGAAGGTTTCTCGTGGACTGGCCCCCACTGTAACTGTACATCGATTGCCTGAGCCCAGGGTGGCCCCAGCCAGCATCGGTCGACGACGACGACGACGGACGACGACGACGACGGACGACGACGACGACGACGACGGCAACGACGGACGACACAGTCGACGACGATCACGACGGGCGACGACGACGACGACGGCGACGACGGCGACGACGACGGCGACGACGACAACGACGGCGACGACGACGGCGACGACGACGACCACGGTGACGACGACGACGACGACGACGACGACGACGACGGCGAAAACGACGACGACGACGACGGACGACGACGGCGACGACAACGACCAGCGACGACGACGACGGCGACGACGACGGCGACGACAGCGATGACGACGACGACGTCGACGACGACGGCGACGACGACGACGACGGCGACGACGACGACGGCGACGGCGACGACGACGACGACGACGACGACGACGCGCAACGATGGCGACGATGGCGACGATGGCGACGACGACGGCGACGACGACGACGGCGACGACGGCAACGACGACGACGACGACGGCGGCGACGCGACGACGGCGACGACGACGCGACGACGAGACGGACGACGACGACGACGGCGATGACGACAACGACGGCGACGACGACGACGATGACGACGACGACGACCACGACGACGACGACGACACGAACGAACGGCACGACGACGACGACGGCGACGACGGGCGACGACGACGACGACGACGACGACGACGACGACGACGACGACGACGACGACGACGACGACGACGACGACGGACGACGACGGACGACGACGACGACGACGACGACGACGACGACGCCGACGGACGACGACGACGCGACGACGCTAACGCGAGACGGCGACGGCGACGACGAGGCGACGACGAGACGACTGCGACGACGACGATCCGGCGACGACGACGACGACAGCGACGGCGACGACGACGACGCGACGACGACGGACGACAACCACGACGACGCGACGACGACGACGGCGACGACGACGGCACACGACGACGACGGCGACGAACGCGACGACGACTGACGACGACCAACGTCGACGGCGACGAACACGACGGCGACGACGACGACGGCGACGACGACGGCGGCGACGGCGACGACGACGACGTGGCACGACGACGACGACGACGACGACGGACGACGCGACGCGACGACGACGACGGCAACGACGACGACGATGGCGGCGGCGGCGGCGACGGCGACGACGGCGACGAGACGACGGCGGCGGCGGCGACGGCGACGACGGCGACGAGGACGACGACGACGACGGCGACGACGACGACGACGTCGACGATGGCAACGACGACGACGACAACGACGGCGACGACGACGACGACGACGGACACGACGACGCCGGCGACGGCGACGACGGCGACGCCGACGGCGACGACGGCGACGACGACGGCGACGACGACGACGACCACGACGACGACGACGACGACGACGACGACGGACACGACGACGCCGGCGACGGCGACGACGGCGACGCCGACGGCGACGACGGCGACGACGACGGCGACGACGACGACGACCACGACGACGACGACGACGTCGACGACGGCGACGACGACGACGGCGACGACGACGACAACGACGACGACGACTCCACGGTGACGACGACGGCGATGGCGACGACGACGACTCCACGGTGACGATGACGACGGCGACGACGACGACGGCGACGACGACGGCGACAACAACAACGACGACGACGACGGCGTCGGCGACGACGACGACGACGACGACGACGACGACGACGGCGGCGACGACGACGGCGACGGCGACGACGACGACGACGGCGGCCACGACGACGACGACGACGGCGACGACGTCGGCGACGACGACGACGACGGCGACGACGACGACGGCGACGACGGCGACGACGACGACGGCGACGACGACGACGTCGACGACGACGGCGACCTTCTCCTCCTCCCCTCCTTCTCCTCCTCCTCCTCTCCCTCCTCTTCTGTCCTCCTGACGCCCTCCCAAAAAGGACAGCCTCGAGGCCACGAGCCTGCAGCTCTTTCTCCCCGGCGAGGGCGACGAGCCGGGGCCCGCCCTCGCGGCCAGGTCGGCCGACGGGCTGGACCCCGGGGCGGGCCGAAAGTGCAGCGGGGCGTCAGCGGCACCGTAACGGGTACTTACTAATGGGTATTTTCTGTAGATTTGCCAAAAGTTGTCAATTTTTGGCTTCTCTCTCTCTCTCTCACTCTGGCATTGCAGCGTTGCCCACATCGGGGAGGATTGGATTCGCTCGTTTCGGGCCAAAGTACCCGTTGGTGGAGTCACTGTTAGCGGCGCTGAGAGGGCAGCCTTCGCGGGGCCCAGGCATATGACCCGGGGCGGGCTGAAGCTACAGTCAAGTCGGGCATGTCCTCCTACAGGAGGAATATCCAAAAACAGTCAAAACATAGTTCTTATTGTATCAAAAAAAGCAACACATAAATACCAATGTTTAACTACTTTTAGGCTTTTTGCATTGTTTCCGGAAAGGGCGCGGGCCCAGGACTCTCATTTATGAGCTGTGCCCCAGAATCTACTTGAGGTGGGCCGGCGAATTTCTGTTACGATAAATAATAAATAACGAGGAAAGGGTGGGCCGGCGAATTACAAATTAAGGATGTCCCGAGCGAAACGCTTGTTTTGCAAAACTTGTTGAGGTTGTTTCAAGCGAAACGCTTGTTTTGTGTTATAGATTGTCCTCTCCCAGGGACCAGAATTCAGAGGATCTCTCTAGTGAAATGCTTGTTTTCACGTGCCCAGGTCTGGAGGATGTCTCGAGCGAGACGCTTGGTTTCACGCGTCCAGGTTTCCCAAGCAGATGTCTAGCATGAGGATTTGTTGAGGATGTCTCGAGCGAGACGCTTGTTTTCACGCGTCCAGGTCGCCCAGGCGGATGTCTAGCATGAGGATTTGTTGAGGAAGTCTCGATCGAGACGCTTGTTTGCACGTGTCCAGATTGCCCAGGCGGATGTCTAGCATGAGGATGTGCCGATCATGTCTTGAGCGAAACGCTTGTTTTCACGTGTTGAGGATGTGTTGAGGATGTCTCGGGCGAGACGTCTGCTTTTACGTGTCCAGGTCGCCCAGGCGGATGTCTAGCAAGAGGAGGTGTTGAGAACGTCTCGAGCGAAACGCTTGTTTTCACGTGCCCAGGTCACCCAGGCGGACGTCTAAGATGAAGATGTGTTGAGGATGTCTCGAGCGAACCACGTCACGTGGCGCGTCCACTGGCACGTTCCGTAGCGCGTCCCCGTGGCACGTCCTGCGGTGCGTCCCCATGGCACGTCCCCTGGCACGTCTCCTGGTTCGTTTCTTGGGACGTTCCGCAGTGTCCCCCTGTCAATGAGCTCTGGGGCAGCTACTGGGCGCCGGCGGTAAACCGTCAACCAGGTTACCGCCGGGGACCTCGTAGAGTTCCTTGCACGTGTAAGAATGCTCTGAATGCACACAGAAATCTGTGTGGAGCCAAATCTAGAAAACTCAAAATGTTATATATATATAAAAATACGAAACCGGTTCCGCCACGTATTTTGATAGTATACTGCAGCTACGGAGCTGAACATGTTACCAGCGAGCGCGGAATAATCCAATCCAGGTGCGAACGATCTTGATTCTCAGAACGAATTGTCAATTCTCTCATAATCTTTGGAGACCTGCAATGTGTTGAACCTATGTTTTTCTTGAGGTCGGTCCCTGGGAGTGAATCGATCGAACTATGGCAGCTACAGCCCTGAAACTTTCACCAGCGAGCGCAGCGTGATCCAATGCTCAGTCGAAAAATCTGGGATTCCAAAACGAATTGTCAAATCTTTCACATTGTCCGAAAAACCCGACGCAATGTTATCACTTTGTCCTTTGTGGCCGGGTCGACCAGCTAGCTCCGCCCTGCGCCCGAATTCCTCTTAGCTCATCTCACCCTACGAGCTCGAGGGACCGTGGCCCTAGAGCGTGGGTGTTGCGCAACTTCCGATGAGTGGAGCGTGAACCCTGGACCGTGACCCTGTGAGCGCGAATCCAATGTAATTTACATGGGATCGTGGCCCAGGGAGAGCGGACGCAGCGTAATTTACGATGGATCGTGGCCTTAGGAGCGCGGACGCAGAGTAATTTACGAGGGCTAGTGGCCCTTGGGGGGCTGACACAGCGTCCCAAGGCACATCCCCTGGCATGTCCATGGGCACGTTCAGTAGCGCGTCCCATTGGCACGTCCCGCGGTGCGTCCCCGTGGCACGTCCCCTGGCACGTGCCCTGGCGCGTCCCTTGGGACGTTCCGCGGCGCGTTCTCCTGCATGTCCCCCTGTCAATTAGCTCTGGGGCAGCTACTATGTGCTCAAGCAGCTCGAGCTTAAGATCCAGATCAGTTCGGTCAGGACTCGGATGCAACGGAGGACTCGATCCACAACGCTATAGAGCACAATCGCGGCATGGCACATCGCAATTCAGCACGGCGCAGCACAGCACAGCCCTCGGCACGGTACATCAAGGACGAAACACTCAGCATTGCACCCTGGCACGTTCCCTGGCACGTTCCGTGGCGTGTCCCGTGGCGAGTCCCCCTGGCACGTTGCGCGGCGCGTCCCCTGGCACGTCACGTGGCAGGTCCATTGGCACGTTCCGTAGCGCGTCTCATTGGCACGTCCCGCGGTGCGTCCCCGTGGCACGTCCCCCTGGCACGTCGCCTGGTGCGTCCCTTGAGACGTTCTGCGGCGCATCCTCCTGGCATGTTCCCCTGTCAACAAGCTCTGGGGCAGCAGCGATGTGCTCAAGCAGCTCGAGCTTAAGATCCAGATTAGTTCGGTCAGGACTCGGATGCAACGGAGGACTCGATCTACAACGTTATAGAGCACAATCGCGGCATGGCACATCGCAATTCAGCATGGCGCAGCACAGCACAGCCGTCGGCACGGTACATCAAGATCGAAACACTCAGCATTGCATTTGCCCGTCGCCCAATCAGGTATCTTGAAAACGTTGCCATGCCTTACGTTTCGATATTCCTTTCCGGATTCGTGGGTCGATCATGTTGCGTGCCCGCTCGAGGCTGGCGCGTCCCGCGCGCAGGACTTCTGAGGATGTCTCGAGCCACGCGCTTGTTTTGCAGAAGGAAGGTTTGCTTTTTGCGTGCCCGCTCGAGGATCGCGCACCCTGCGTACCGAAAATCTGAGGATGTCTCTGGCGAAACCCTTGTTTTGCAGCGCTCGAAAGGCCTGGGCGCTCCAAGACGTCCAGGTGGTTTGGGGAGTGCGGTCGGACCGTTATTTACTAAGGATCGTGGCCTTGGGAGCGCGGGTGCCGGGATAGTTACAAAGGATCCTGGCCCTGGGAGCGCGGACGCAGCGTAATTGAAAAGGGATCCTGGCCCTGGAGGCGCGAACCCAGCGTAATTTACGATGGATCGTGGCCCTGGGAGCGCGGACACAACGTAATTCATGAGGGAGCACGGCCCGGGGAGCGCGGACGCAGCGAAGTTTACGAGGGATCTTGGCCCAGAGAGGGCGGACGCATTGTAATTTACCATGGGTCATTGCCATGGGAGCGTGGACGCAGTGCAATTTACAATGGATCGTGGCCCTGGGGGGGGGCGGACACAGTGTAATTTACAAGGGATCCTGCCCCTGGGGGCGCGGACACAATATACTTTACTGTGGGTCGTGGCCCTGGTGGCGCGGACGTGGTGTAATGTACAAGGGGTCGCGGCCCTGAGAGCGCAAGCCCAACGTAATTGACGAGGGATGGTGGCCCTGGGAGCGCGAGCCCAGCGTAATTTACAAGGGGCCGTGGCCCTGGAGCGTGGATCCTGTGTAATTTCCGATGGATCGTTGCCCTGGGAGCGCGACTCCAGTGTAATTTTAGATTGACTGTGGCCTTGAGAGCCTGACTCCCGCGCAGTTTACGAGGGTTCGCGGCCCTGGGAGCGTGTCGTCGGAGCGCGGCTGCAGCGTAGTTTACGACGAATGATCGTAGCCCAGGGGGGTTGGACGCAGCGTAATTTACGAAAGATCGTGGCCTTGGAGGCGCGGACCCGTTGTTATGGCTTTGCTCATGGGCCCGCTGTGCGTTGCTCCTTTCTGATTCTGCGGTGTCTGGGGGGGGAGGGCGGGGGGCAGGCAGGCTGAGTTTGTTGGAGCAGAAAAATGGGGCTTGCCTGGGAGCGTGGTCCCGTGCCACGTCCCGTGGCAAGTTCCCTGACGTGTTCCTTGGCACGTCCCCTAGCGCGTCACCTGGCAGTTCCCTCCCACGTTCCGTGGCGCGTCCCGTGGCGAGTCCCCCTGGCACGTCGCGCGGCGCGTCCCCTGGCACTTCCCGTGGCACGTCCACTGGCACGTTCCGTAGCGCGTCCCCGCGGCACGTCTCTCGGTGCGTCCCCATGGCACGTCCCCTGGCACGTCCGCTGGCGCGTTTCTCGGGACGTTCCGCGGCGCGTCCATCTGGATTCCCCCCTTGGCATCGCCCAGTTGCATATGCAATTGAGGTCTTGAATCGGTTCCATGCCTCGCAGTTCTCAATTCCTTTCTGGGTTCGTGGGTCGATTCTGTTCTTTCAAAATCCGCCTGTAGGAGGACATACCGGACCTAAAACTGCAGCGGGGCAGCCTTCGCGGGGCCCAGGCACGAGGATGGGGAGGGGGCTCGCCTTTGGTCGGCGGCGAGCGAGGGGGGGAAGCGAGAAGGGGCGGGCCTTCTCAGAAGGCTCGGAAGTCCCCGGGCCTTCTGAGAGGTTTTCTGAGCCTTTCCCGAAGACGCAGAGAACTTTTCAGAAGACCGGAGCGCTTTTGAGAACCCCGCCGCTCACCCCTGCCCGGCCCCCTCCCAGAGCAGCCCCCCCCCTTGGAGTTTGAGGCGGCCGAGGACGGCGGCGTGGCCTCCATGGCCCTGCGGGCGAGGCCTGGCGCGCAGCCGTGCTGCTCCCACGCGCTGTGCGGGACCTCGAAGGGCGACCTCACCGTGGTGCTCCTGCAGTGGCCGGCGCAGTCGGAGGCAGCCGAGGCAGGGCCGCTGTGGCCCGTCCTGGCGCGGAGGCGGCAGGCTCACGGCAAGGCCGGGGCGAGAGAGCTTTTATCCAAGCCCGTGCAAACGGGGCGTCAGCAGATGAGGCGGCAGCTGAGGGCCTCTTCAAGCGAGAACGGGGTGACAGGGCATTTGCCTCGCAAGAGTGCGTGATACATCGGGACGGCAAGCACGTCGACACATCATCATAACTTTGGGCGGGGGGGTTTACCTCGCACTCGTGCGCGGCAAATGCAGTTTTTGAAAACACCCATGAAAACGCACCCTGAGCTACCGGCCCGCCCCTTTTGCAGGGTCTTGGTGCATTGCGTCGGACGTTTGGGAACAGGGTTCCGCGCCACTGGGAGTCAACCACTCGCCGCCGATCCCCTCTGGCTGACCCAGGCATGGCCGCTCCCTCCGTTGAGACCCGGGCTTGAGAACCTTCGTCGCCGGCCTGTGTTCACGGCATGGCTTTGGCCGGCCCGCGTGTCATGCCCGGTCTCCTGCTGCTGATCATTGCTCCGGCTCCCTCTCGCAGCCTGCATCTGCAGCCGTTGCTGGTCCTCCTCCTTGTCCTCGCCCCTGTCCCCGTAGGCGTCTCGGCTCTCGTCGTCGTCGTCGTCGTCGTCGTCGTCGTCGTCGTCGTCGTCCGTCGTCGTCGTCGTCGTCGTCGTCTTCGTCGTCGTCGTGTTCGTCGTCGTCGGCGTCGTCGTCCGTCGTCCGTCGTCCGTCGTTCGTCATCCGTCGTCCGTCGTCCGTCGTCCGTCGTCTGGCGTCGTCGTCTGGCGTCGTCATCGTAGTCATCGTCGTCGTCGTCGTCGTCCTTCTCCTCCCTCGTTCTTTTGCATGGACATTTTGGTTCAAGCCAGGCTCAATGTCGGACCAATGTGTGGCTGCACTCTTCGGCCTCGAGTCATTGTCAACTCTGCCGACTGCACTTTGGCGGAGTGGCGTACGCCTGCAAGCAAATTTCCGTCGGAACCGTTTCATATAATGTCTTGGGGGCGCACATTGCGTGTGTTCTTCATGTAGTCCGCAGAAGGGATAACACGTCATTTCAGATGTTCATTCATCTTGGATGCGGCGACGGATTCTGCTACTTGCTGCAGGTGGGTTTGGTGCACCCTTGGATAAGCTAAACGCCATGCCTTGCCTTACTCTGACTTTGTATAGAGGAGGTTCACTTTGCTCTGCTTTGCTTCGCAGTTCAATGCAAGGCGACGCGTGACTGCATCGCATTGGTCTTGCATTGCTACGCAAAGCAGTGTTCTGGGGACGTGCAGTGCAACAGTGACGGAATGGACTAGCATCGCAAATGTAAGTTATGCAGTCAAGCGTACATGCGATGCACCTTGGTTCACTCCAGAGGAGCGCGCAGCAGCACACTGCAAAGCGCATGCAATGCATGTGGGTGCAGTCAAACATAAGCACTGTGATGCACGACAAGCTGACGCACTGCAAGGCCAATCATCACACATCAAGCCACTGCGATGCCATGCGCCGCCAGGTATCGTATGCGATGCGCAGCAGAGCAGCCCGAATCACCGCACAGTCATGCACACCGAGCCGCTGAAGCAGTGCAGAGCAGTGCAGACCAAGGCCACGCAACGCAGTGCAGATGCGATCCTCGAAGAAGCGCAGCGCACCGCCGGCGCAGAGCGAGGGAGGCAGAGAGCGTGGCAGAGCAGAGCGGTGCAGAGCTGCGCGCTGCGGTGCGACGCAGCGCAGAGCACCCTGCTGGAACCGCGGCACGGTGGGGGGGGGGCTCCCACGGGGAGGCGGGGGGAGCAGCGGGCCCCCGATCCGCAGAGGTCTCTCGGCCCGCAGCTCGGGCTCCGGTGGCGGCCGGTCGGGGCGATGCCGGGCAGCCCCGGAGCGCCCGCGGCGAGGCGCAGCTGCTGGGGCGCAGCCCGAGGCTGGAAGGCTGCCAGGAACCGAGGAGCATGTCCGGTGACCCCGAGCCTGGAGCCTCGAGCCTCCCCCCCGAGGCCCAGGGCTCCAGGTCGAAGGGACGAGAGACTGAGCGCCCCCCGGTTTCCCTGGAGGGGTCGGGAGGCGGAGCCCAGGTTTGCCATGGCCATGCGCCCCATCTTGCACAACGAGTCAGGGACCCCCTGGGCGACGGCGGATCGAGGATCGAACATCGGTCCTCGACATCGGAGATCGAGGATCGGACTTCGAGGAGGGTGTTTCCCTCCTGCCCTTGGCACAGGGAGTCAGGGATCCTCTGGGCGGCGCCCGATGGTGGGAATCCAGTGAGGGCAGCAGCCCAGCGAGGGCGTGCGAGGCGCCGGCCGGCAGGCAGGAACGAGCTGAAGCGGGGGCCGGTGGACCTCCTGGGAGGCTTCCAGAAGTGTCAGTTGGACAAGGTTGGTTTCGCTGGACTTGAGTCGGGCCTGTTCCTCTACAGGCAGGGGGAATATCCAAACATAGCGAAAGCATAGTCTGGGGACTAGTGCTGGAATATTTTTGTCAAAGCATTATTGGGATATCTGTGGGGTATCTTTTAATTTTTCGCCCCAAAACCCCCTGTAGGGACCCGACTTCACGCCAGACCTGATGCCCCCGAGCCCGACCTGAGGCCCCCCCGCCCGACCCGGGCGCCCCAGCAGCCGTCGGAAGCACCCTTCCTGACCCAGGCCTGCTCGCTGCTCCCAGGCCAGGACCGGGTGCGAGCGAGCGGAGGGCTGTTGTGCGTGAGGCGCCGGGCCGCGGACCCGACGAGAGGCGGTGGGCCGCAAGAAATGAGCTTTCCGAGGTCGCGAGGAACGAGCCGAGCGCAGCAGCGGTCACGAGGAGCGACCCGAGCGCAGCAGCCGCACTGCTGGGTGGGCCCCGCGAGCTCCAGACAAGGCACTGTGCGTGTGAATTGTATACGAAGCGGCGGCTCCTCGGGGAATGATTGGGCAGGCGGATCCGGTCCGCAGCCTCCTGCTGCAGGCGAATCTTCTCGGCATGATGATAGTCGGGAGGGGCGAAGGCGAAGGAGAGTGCCGATTCACACGATGCGCCGATGCGCGTAACGTCATCACTGGTGACGTCCCCAAGGGCGGCACCGATCACCCACTGGTTCTGTGAACGGCTTGGCATTGCCCCGCATGTGGGCTCCTGGATCCGTGGGCTCCCCTCGACGGTCGCGCCTCTTCCTCTTCTCCCCCTCCTCCTGCTCTTCCATTCTCTCCCCCTCGCCCTTCTCTTCCTCTCCTCCTCTTCCTCCCGACAGGGGAGGTGGCGGGCGGGCGGGCGAGAGGCTCACGGTCGCAGGAGTAATTCAAAGCCTTGCGCCCCGCGCAAGGGCGTGACGGACGTGAGGTGGCGCGACGCCGCTGGCACCGGAGACTCCGGCGCCTGCATGTCGGCGGGCCTGGACGGCAGCGTCAAGGTGTGGAGCTTCGGTGGGCCCGGCGGGCCAAATCTGCCCCCGCTGGCGGGCCGCCCCGCGGGTGGGCCGGCGGCAGCCTGTCCCCGACGGGCAGGGCGGGCGGGCGGACCCCGAGGTCGAGCCGTCTTGCAGTGTTCCTTGGCTGCTTGCTCACAGCGTCCGAGCCCCGCAGCCTCTCGCAGCAGGCCCGCGCGGCAGGTGCACCAGGTGCGGATAAGGGGGGCGGAGCGTCCTGACCTGCCCGTACGGGCCCACCAACGGATGCTCCAAGAAGCTCTGGGAGGGTGGGGAGGAATGTTCTCAGAACATCTTTGGCCGAGACCGTCTTGTCTTGGTGCATCGGGGTCATGCTCCCGGCAAGGGCTCGGGCCCAGGGTTTCTTTTTGGTCCGTTGATCCTCTAGCCTCGACTTGCGTAGGGCCGGCGATTGACTTTGCGATAAATGACGAGGTTGCGTCGGGCCAGTGAATTAGCAAGTTGAGGATGTCCCTAGCGAAACGCTGGTTTTTGAATTTCCGATCGATGCAACACATAGTAAAACACACATTTTCGCTTGTTGCGGGTATCTCGGGCGGAACGCTTGTTTTACAGAGTTTGTTGAGGATGGCTCGAGCGAAACGCTTGTTTGTGTTATATTTTGCTCCTCTCCTGGGGACAAGAATTCAGAGGATGTCTCAGGTATAATGCTTGTTTTCACGTGCCCAGGTCAAGGATGTCTCGAGCGAGACGCTTGGTTGCAGGCGTCCAGGTTGCCCAGGCAGATGTCTAGCATGAGATTTTGTTGAGGATGTCTCGAACGAGACGCTTGTTTTCACGTGTCCAGGTCGCTCAGGCAGATCTGTGGGTGTCTCGAGAGAAACGCTTGCTTTCACGCGTCCAGGTCGCCCAGGCGGACGTCTAGCATGAGGATGTGTTGAGAACGTGTCGAGCGAGACGCTTGCTTTCACGTGCCCAGATCGCCATGGCTGACGTCTAGCATTATGATTTGTTGACGGTGTCTCTCGAGAGATGCTTGTTTTCGCGTGTCCAGGTCGCCCAGGCGGACGTATAGCATGTGAATTTATTGATGGTGTCTCTCTCTCTCTCGAGAGAGAGAAGCGTATTTTCACGTGTCCAGCTTGCCCAGGCGGATGTCTAGCATGAGGATGTGTTGAGGATGTCTCGAGCGAACCGCTTGTTTTCACGTGTCCAGGCCGCCCAGGCGGATGTCTATCATGAGGATGTGTTGAGGAGGTTTCAAGCGAGACGATTGTTTTCACGTGTCCAGGTCGCCCAGGCAGATGTCTAACATGAGGTTTCTTTGAGGATGTCTCAAGCGAAACGCTTGTTTTCACGCGTCCAGGTTGTCCTGGCGGATGTCTAGTCTGAGGAGGTGTTGAGAACGTCTCGAGCGAGACGCTTGTTTTCACGTGTCCAGGCCGCCCAGGCGGATGTCTATCATGATAATGTGTCGAGGATGTCTCGAGCGAGACGCTTGTTTTCAAGTGTCCAGGTCGCCCAGGCGGATGTCTAGCATGAGGATGTGTTGAGAACGTCTCGAGCGAGCCGCTTGTCGCAGTAGAGTGCGTCGCAGTCGAACCCCGCCCGTCCGTGGGGCGTCCCCTGGCGCGCTGGCGCGTCCCCTGGCGCGTCCGTGGCGAAGTTCTGGCGTGACGTGCCCTGGCACATCCCCTAGCACGCAACTCGGCGTGTCACGTTTTCTGGCTCGTCCTCTGTCTCGCTTCCTGGCTCGTCCCCAGGCGTTTCCCCTGCCCGTTCCGTGGCGAGCCCTTTGCAGCGTCCCTTAGCATGACGTCCTCTGGCCGCCCGATGGCGCGCGCCTTGGCACGTCCCGTGGCAGGTCCCTGACACATCCAGCACGTCCCCTGATACGTCCCCTGACACGTCCCCTGGCGCGGGTCCGTGATCCTGTGCCCCGTGTCGTGTCGTTCCTTTTCGGAGTTGAGTCGGGATTTGAGGTCGCGTTGATTAAGCGTCCTCCACGCTTCCGCTTCAACTAGCTCTGGGGCCGCTACTTATGTTCTCGGGCTGCTCGAGCTTAAGATCCAGATCAGTTTGGTCATGACTCGGATGCTAAGGTTGACTCGATCCACAACGCTATAGAGCACAATCGCGGCATGGCACATCGCAATTCAGCACTGCACAGCACAGCACAGCCCTTGGCATAGTACAGCAAGATCGATATACTCAGCATTGCAATTGCCCGTCGCCCCATCAGGTGTCTTGAAACGTTGCCATGCCTCACACTTATATGACCCTTTCTGGGTTTGTGGGTCACTCATGTTTTCAGATCGACGCTCCTGCTCCCAGAACATTATTTTGTTTGGATCGCATTGTGAACTATACTTGTAACCAACGACGAATAGAACAAGTGAGAAGAAGAAGGCCTTCTCAGAAGGCTTGGAAGTCCCACGGCCTTCTGAGAAGTTTCCCAAGCTTTCCCGAAGGCGCAGAGGACCTTTCGGAAGGTGCGAGGGCTTCGGAGAAGTCCCGCCCGTCTTCCGAGAAGGTCTTCTCATTCTCCCCTCTCCTCCCCTCGCTCGCCACCGATGCAGGAAACGCCGGGGCGGCCGGCTCCTGCTCAGTAGGGGGCGAGAGGCGGGCGAGAGCCAAATGGGGGGTGACCCAAATGGGCCGTGAAGAGAAAGGCCGTCTAGGGGTAGTCGTGGTAGTGGTAGTGGTAGTAGTGGTAGTAGTAGTAGTAGTAGTAGTAGTAGTAGTAGTAGTAGTAGTGGTGGTAGTAGTAGTAGTAGTAGTAGTAGTAGTAGTAGCCGTAGTAGTAGTAGTAGTAGTAGTAGTAGTAGTAGTAGTAGTAGTAGAAGAAGCAGCAGTAGTAGTCGTAGTAGTAGTAGTAGTAGTAGT